AGAGAGAGAGAGAGAGAGAGAGAGAGAGAGAGAGAGAGAGAGAATGAATCCCAAGCAGGCACCATGCTCAGCACAGAGACCAACATGGGGCTCAACCCCACAACCGTGAGATAATGACCTGAGCTGAAATAAAGAGTCAGATGCTCAACCAACTGATCCACCCCAAGTGCCCCACACCGTAAGTAAATTTAAACAAGTCATATTAAAGAGACACCTGATAAATTGCTAATACATATACAAAACCAAATTATCCAGAATTCAACAGGGTCTAACAGAGTGAAAGCATTTACATATTTTTTATATATGAAAATAATTAACTTTGTATTTTTATAACTATGTTAAACTCTCTTGTGATCCATAAGTCCTATAAATGTGACAAAAAATAAAAAAAAAGCAATATAAAGCACAATGCAAAACTCTCTGAGTGCCCAATTAGTGTAAATTAAATTTCTTTGACATTTTCTCTCAGATAAACTCAACATTGTTGCAGAACTTGCTAAGTGACTTTCTCTCACTTTTATGCATCCCAATATAAATTCTGAATACAAAATAAAGCTTCTCCTTGATACTCTTATTCCACATACTTTCAAGAGCTAGCTTTCTGTGAACAGAAGTATAATTATGTTGCCTGGTCTTTAAACATTGGCCCTGTTCCCCTACATCAACTACTCAAGGATTCATGGCTATTGTAATTTATCGTCTTCCAGGCTGCCCTACCTTGCAGATCTGACTCAGTTGTAATGACATAGAGTCAAATCCTGTCCCACTATTCTCTCCCTCTTCCAGGAAAATCATTCTTTTTCTCCCTTTGCTTTATAGTAGAATACTATATTCAGATTTTCAAAATTTTCTGAAAATGTTAGCATCTCTCCAAGGATTTAGGGAATCATTTAAAATCCCCTAGGGGAGCCTGGGTAGCTCAGTTAAGTTTCCAGCTTTGGCTCAGGTCATGATCCCATGGTTCGCGAGTGAGAGCCCCACATCAGGCTCTGGGCTGACAGCTCAGAGCCTAGAGCCTGGAGCCTGCTTTGGATTCTGTGTCTCCCTCTCTGTCTGCCAACTCTCCCCCACTCATGCTTGTCTCTCTTCCTTTCTCTCTCTCTCAAAAATAAACACTAAAACATTTTTAAAATCCCCTATTCCTTTAAAAAAAGCCCTTAGATTATTGTCTAACATAGTATTCAAAAGTCAACTTTTAGGTTAAAATTTAATGTATAGTACAATAATAACTGAGCTCCTGTCTTTACCATTCTACTGAAATGCATGAAGGTCCCCTGAGAACCTCTTGGAGTTCCAGTTACAATGTCTTTTTATCCTAGCCCCTCTTTTCTGTCTATGTATTTCTCTATATTTATTCCATCTATTCCCATGGCTTTATACATTATTCTTATTCTGCTGAATCCTCCGTTTTATTTTTTTTTTTTAAGTTTATTTTTGAGAGAGAGAGACAGAGACAGAGACAGTGAAGGGAGGAGGGGCAGAGAGACAGGGAGAAAGAGAATCCCAAGCACGTTCTGCACTGTCAGCACAGAACCTGATGCAGGGCTTGAATGCATGAACTGTGAGATCATGACCTGAGATGAAACTAAGAGTCAGATGCTTAAACCCACTGAACCACCCTGGTGCCCTGAATCCTGTATTTTAAATCTAGTACTGAACTTTCCATTTAGATCCAAAATCATGTGTCTAAATATTAAGTTAAAGCATATACTTGACTGTCTTCTAGACATCTCAAAATTAACAAGTCTCAAAGAGAGCTCAATACCTCTCCACCCAAACCTGTTTTCCCCAGGTATTCACCAACTCAGTAAATGAAGACTTCTGAATCAAAAATTGGTGGGTCATTCACAATTATTTTGTTTCTCCATGCTTATCTATTATTAAGTCCTGCCTGGCTACCACCAATATTTAAATTGTTCACTCCATTTATACCACTTTTACATTAGAAGTCCAATCAGCCATTATATTTCACTTGGAAATCCCAAAGCCCCCTAAATGCAGGTAAAACCGCCTACTTCAACTCTTGTAACCACCCAACACCCCCTCTCAACACAGAAATCATGTTCCTCCATTACTCTAAGTCTTCTAGTGTATGGATGTCACATTTAGCATAAGCTTGCTTGCTTTCTTTTTCTTTTTTTTTTTTTTTTTTTTTTTTTTTTTTGCTCTAGCTTATAGAGCCTTTAATTATCTGGCTTCTGACTACTTATCTGCCTTCATGTGGTAGCAAAATTGTCTACCATGCTCTTGTCACACTGGATTTCTTTCTGTATTTAACCATATAGATCATTACACTTTCAAGGCTTCACACTGTTTCCTCTGCCTATAACACAATTCTTCTAGAACTTTACATTGCTGACTCCTAATTATTTATACTTAGCTTAAATTTTACCTTTCCAAACATTTAAAATATATTTTATTTTTAGAGTATTTTTAGGTTCACAGAAATATTGATGATAAGGGGCAGATTTTTCCCATATATCCACCTATACATACATAGCTTCCTCCATTTATCAACATCCACCACCCGGGTAGTATATTTATTACAACTGATAAGCCTACATTGACATATCATTATCACTCAAAACACATAATTTCCATTAGGGTTCACTCTAGGTGGTGTACATTCTATGGATTTTTAATGCATAGTGACATATATCAACCAACAGTATCATACAGAGTAATTTCACTGCCCCTAAAAATCTACGTGCTCTACTGTTTCATCTCATCTTTCCCTTTTACATCTGGCAACTGCCGATCTTTTCACCATCTCTATAGTCATATAGCTGAAATTATAGAATAGGTAACTTTTTCAGGCTGGCTTCTCTTATTTATCTACATGCATTTAATATTCTCCCATGTCTTTTCATGGCTTGAAAGCTCATTTCTTTTTAGCATTGAGTAATATTACATTGTCTAGATGTACCACAGATTATTTATCTATTCACCTACCAAAAGACATCTTGTTTGACTCTAAATTTTAGCAATACTGAATAAAGATGCTATAAACATTCATGTGCATTTTTGCATGTACATATCTTTTCATCCTATTTGAGAAAATACTATGGAGTGCAATTGCTGGATTGTATGATAAGGATATGTTTAGTTTTTTCAGAAGTAATGTATGCTTAAAAAATTGCTAAGAGGGGATCTTATGTTTTCTTATCACATAGATGACGATAATAATATATAAAAAAGGTAGGAGGAAACTTTTGGAGGTTATGGATAATGCTTATGATACAGATTGTGGTGATGGTTTCATAGGTGTATACGTATCTCCAAAATCATCAAGTCATCAAGTTGTACACATTAAACTTGCACAGCTTTTTAGATGTCTCATATATATATACATATATATGTATATATATATATATATATACATATATATATATATAATTCTAATTGTGTTATTTATTTAGCTCAAAAGGATATGGATATGGCCTAATCTCATTTGACAAGGCTCCTCTAATGTAACTCTACTCCATTTCAAAGGGCATTGCTTTTTTTAAAGTTTATTTATTACTATTTTGAGAGAGAGAGACAGAGAGCACACAAGTTGGAGAGGGGCAGAGAGAGACAGAAAGAAACAGAATCCCAAGCAGGCTCTGCACTGTCAGTGTGGAGCCTGATGTGGGGCTCTAACTCACCAACTGTGAGATTATGATCTGAATGGAAGTCAGACACTTAACTGACTGAGCCACCCAGGTGCCCCACTTTACTCCATTTCTAATGGTTAGCTCAACTTGGAAGTTGTATTACCTAGTTTAGTACCCTCCTTCCTATTCACAGACTGGTATTAGTAGACTTTTATTTTAATTTCCCATTCCCACCCCATAAGAGAAATTAAGATTTTATCCCCTCTAAAATCCAGGGGGAAAGTACACATAGTTTTTTTTTTTTTTTTGAGTCTTTATATGTAGCTCTGATTTCTGAACTAAGTTATACTTAATTCTTCCATAAGGACTACTAGGATAACCTCTAAATGACTTTATTCATCAGCTTATACCTGACCTATGGCAGAGGATATTAGCTTTTCTCCAAAGCTGTGTTCTATTTCCCAAATGTAGGTTATGAGTTGTTAGAAATATATGGAAATGATTAAAGAAAAAATTATATTGCCACTCATATGAAATGTAGGGTTTTGGCCATTAAAATAAAAATATAATACAGCAATATAAATATCCTCCTATCGATGACAATTACACATGTCTCTAAGAAGTATCTAGTTTTCTAACTTTTAGTTATTTGCTAACTTTTCTTGACACATAACAACGAGCAGCAGAGACAATTAGTTGTCAATTATAGGGTGTTTTTCTAACCCTCTTTACCTTGTCTCCTTAGTACCAAAGCCCAAAGTGGAGGTGAAACAAGTTAGCAGATCAATTCAAAGGCAAAAATCCACGTAAAGGACAACCTCCTACTCAATAATCCTGCCATATCTTTCACTTCTCAATTTAGCCTTTTAATCACACAGTTTGAATGTATAAGATATTTTTCCTCTTTTACTGATTCATTTTCCCTCAAGTAAAACTGAGAGCTGTAAAAGTGAAATACAGATGTGAAAGAATTGCTAGCTTTGTATGCTTGTTAATATATGATTAATTCACTGCAAAGGCTTGGAGTGGTGGCTAAAGAATTTCAAATGTGACTAAAACCACAGAATATCTTAAAAAAAAAGAAATATCATAAAACAAAAACAAATCTTTAGAAACGTGTATGTCCTGAAAGAAATATGTCAATCTTCTGGCCTCCTTATGTGAAAAAATAAAGTAGTATAATAGATCATTAATTAGTCATGTCTGCTTTTATAGAATTCTATAAATATTCCACATCATGACTTATCAACTGCAGTGGTATGGTTATTTCCAAGGTGCTTTCGAATTATTTTTCTCCTCTGTATGTGTATGTCTGTGTGTGTCTATGTAATATTGTCAATAACACAGAACAAGTAAGAAAATCTGTTAAAAGTGAATGTCATGAAAGATGAAATGACTGATGGATTTGAGAACTCTGTTTTATGTAGGGGGAACAAATATCACATTATGTCCAATTTTCTAAAACTGTAGGAAAATTTAGATATTATTAATTTTCTTTAATTCTAATAAAACTATCAACAATAATTTTAAACATATAAATAGGAAATAAGTACTAACATCAATAACAATTGATTTTGCACTCAAAACAGTATTTTCTGCCTGTGTTTCACATAACTCAAAGCACCACTTATCTGTTTTATAGATGGAAATAGTTCAAGCCTTGTCCTAGACTTCTAAGATGCTACTCCAATTGAAAAAAAAAACCTAGTTATACCTGTATTATAATCCACACTCCAGCACCAAGTAGACATCTGGAGATTAACATGACTTCTCCATGCCATTCATTATCTCCTTTCAGTTGCTAGTATTCATGAGCTTCTTTCAAAGGGCTGAGTCCTCAGTGATATCTGCACTGCAGTATATATATTATCTCCTTAAGAAATGTTGCTGTAAAACTAATTGAATTAAAAACATTTTCTCCCATTCCACAAACTGCCTTTCACTCTGTTGATTGTTTTCCTTGCTGTGAAGATATCCTTTGAAGTAGTGCCACTTGTCTATTTTTTGCTTTTATTGCCTGTGCCTTTGTTGTCATACAATCATTGTCTACACCAAAGCCATAAAGATTTTCCCCTTTATTTTCTTCTAGGTTTAAGTTTTAGATTTTGCATTTTTTAGATTTTAATTCATTTTAAGTTGATATTTCCATACAGTGTAAGATAAGGTAATTGCCCACTTTCATTCTTTTGCATGTAAATGTTGTTTTCCTAACACCCTTTGTTGAAGGGACCATCTTTCCCCATTGTACTCTTGGCACCCTTGTCAAAGCTCAGTTGACCATTATGTGTGGATTTATTTCTGGGCTCTCTGTTCTGTTCCACTTGTCTATATGTCTGTTTTTATGTAAGTACCATACTATTTTATTTACTGTAGCTTTGTAATAAATTTTGACATCAGAATGTTGATTCCTTCAGCTTTGTTTTTTTTTTGTCTTTTTTTTTATTTATATATGAAGTTTATTGTCAAATTGGTTTCCATACAACACCCAGTGCTCATCCCAAAAGGTGCCCTCCTCAATACCCATCACCCACCTTCTCCTCCCCCCCTCCCCCATGGGTTCCTGTTAAGTTTCTCAGGATCCAGATAAGAGTGAAACCATATGGTATCTGTCTTTCTCTGTATGGCTTATTTCACTTAGCATCACACTCTCCAGTTCCATCCACGTTGCTACAAAAGGCCATATTTCATTTTTTCTCATTGCCACGTAGTATTCCATTGTGTCTATAAACCACAATTTCTTTATCCATTCATCAGTTGATGGACATTTAGGCTCTTTCCATAATTTGGCTATTGTTGAGAGTGCTGCTATGAACATTGGGGTACAAGTGCCCCTATGCATCAGTGCTCCTGTGTCCCTTGGATAAATTCCTAGCAGTGCTATTGCTGGGTCATAGGGTAGGTCTATTTTTAATTTTCTGAGGAACCTCCACACTGCTTTCCAGAGCGGCTGCACCAATTTGCATTCCCACCAACAGTGCAAGAGGGTTCCCGTTTCTCCACATCCTCTCCAGCATCTATAGTCTCCTAATGTGTTCATTTTGGCCACTCTGACTGGCGTGAGGTGATACCTGAGTGTGGTTTTGATTTGTATTTCCCTGAGAAGGAGCGACGCTGAACATCTTTTCATGTGCCTGTTGGCCATCCGGATGTCTTCTTTAGAGAAGTGTCTATTCATGTTTTCTGCCCATTTCTTCACTGGGTTATTTGCTTTTCGGGTGTGGAGTTTGGTGAGCTCTTTAT